TAATGTAAGAATACTCACGATAAGTCTAGAACACGATAAAATCAACACATGGACAATAGGTGTTAGGAATAATATCTATGACATGTGCAATTATGTGTGATAAATCCTGTGAAACAATGCATATTTTTAATATGAATTCGGACTAGGAATAATATCGAGTCATGTTAAAGATAGATTTAATATATCTTGGAAAATAATAATGAATAAAAGTGGATTATCAATTGTCTTGAATGCATGAATTTACTAAATTATAAATTAAGAGTCGAATTAAATGGTAATAGGGGGATTCACGATTTCAATACAAATATTCACTTATTAAATAAATATTTTATTTGCTTTCTTAGTTTAAGATTAGCATAGAAAATATATAAATCACAACTTTTTTTATTGTACATTACTTCGAATTTAGTAAAAGCTACTTAACTAAATATTAGACCTTATTTCTCGTGGGAACGATACTCTTAACTCACAAATTTTATTACTTGTACAATGATCCTGTACGCTTGCGGGTTTCACACGAACCCTATTCTCGACTCCTTGTAGACTTAACAACCTCAGCTTGGCCTAGGCCGATTGAGTCATTGCCATGTAAGTTGGCGCCGATGGAGAACGTGCCAAAACTCTTATTATCTCTATTGGACGATCCAACAATGTTGTGTCTCCTTTTCCGCTCTGATTGCAAACTGAGCATACTCCTCGCATAATTGTCTTAACTTGTTCCAACCCCCTTTGGACTAGCTGGTTTTAGTGTCATATTGGCGACTAAAGATGTTGTCTTTGACAGTGGAATTGTTGGGGACCGATGGCTGGAAGGACAAGCTGGTTTTTAGCTGACTGGTGAAGACGTGTTATCAGAGTTTAGCTGATGTCTAACAAAATAATTGGTTATTTCTCCTCCTACAATGCTAGACATTGCATTTTTGATGGAAAAGTAGTCATTGTTGAGTTCCTTATGAGTTGTGCTTTGTGTCTCCCATGATCGGAAGCCATCCATCATTCTAACCAACTCTGACGCCAGTGAGGATTAGCTAGGTCCATGAACAATAAGTTGGCTGATCTTGGCATCTTCTTCTAGGTTTGCTGCTCAATGAGCGACAAGGATGCGACTTAATAAACATCAGTATAAGTAGAAAATGAAACAAAAAACAGACATCAAAGTTGAGGAAGAATACAATATGGAATAATAAAATTTGCAGTTGCTCACTACCGTAATCGCTTGCCACATAAGACGACTGTGGTGGTAAGCGACTGTAAATAGTATTACTCGTGCAGAATGTGACAGGAACTTTTCTAAATATAGAACATTTTCCCAGTTACATGAAATGAAGAAATGCAAAATTGGACAAGAGAAGTTAATTAAGAAGGCTAAGCGAAATCGATTTTTTAATTTTTTTTTTGTCAGATTTCAATTTAGACTCTTAATTAAAAAAAAAAAAAAAAAGCTATAAACTCATAGTTTAAATTGACAACCATTATTTGGAAAAAATAATATTTTGGATAGTAATTTTTAGAATATTCGGTTGAGAAGTAAATAAAGTTTTAGATTTACATTTAAAATATCGTATTCTTTGAATATGTAATTGAAAATGAATATACAGAAAAAAGAATTTTCAAATAATGGCTGTCAAACAAGGGCTCAATATCTTGATTCTTAGCATAATATGACGAATACATTTTTGGGAGATAATATTTTTTCCGCTATTCACATCCACATATTTTATTATACATGAACTTTTAAAAAGATAATTATATTATATTTTTTGTCTTATGTAAATTTATCTAAATATACATATATAAAGTTAAATAAAAATATATTGCTCTAAATTCATCTACTAATGTTTATTTTCATAAATTCTTTTAACCCTTTTTATATTCTTTTTAGAGTTTGTGCTTAACTGAAATTTTAATAATCATATATAAAATGTCATGTTTAATTAAAATAATAAAACACTAATCATAAAATATCTTTTCAACAGAAATTAAAAAAAATAAAAAAATCAACACATTATTTGAGTTATAATTCTTTCATGATATGAAAACTGGAATCTTAGGGTGCGGTTGGTTTCCATTTTCATTTTCCATTTTCATTTTCAAAACAATTTTTAGTTTTCCCCGAAAACAGCTCGTTTTTTGCGTTTTGAGTGTTTTTGACATTTATAACTGAAAACACTGAAAACGCTGAAAAGTCGTTTTGCATTTTCAATTATAAATTTTAACTCATTTTCGAAAATGCGTTTTCGAAACGACGGACCAAACGCGTTTTCTGCGTTTTCGAAAACGAAAAAGGGAAAATAGGCGGAAAACGGCAAACCAACCACGGCTTTATTTTTTTATGCTTTTTAAGTATTATTTTGACAAGTGAAAATATACGAGAAATTTCAAAATATATTTCAATGTCTGTCCAAATATTCTTTTATTATAAAAGGAAACAAATTTAAAATTATCAACCAAAATACAAATAGCCAAAATTATAAGCTTATAAATAAAAAAAATTAATTAATATATGATTTGAGGAGGGATTTGTTTGGTTGCGCAATATACTCTTGAGAGAATCCTATAAATTTAAGAAAAGAGATTTGCTAACATTTATAATTAAATATTAAAGCACCGACATGACAATATAAAAAATAGAAGTAATAATCAGATTAGAATGTTGATAGTGATTTTCAAAATTGTATTAGGAATGTATTTATAGTGAGGATGAATATATAAAATTTATATAGATCTATAATATTTAAATGAATGAATTTAATAAGGACGATATTAAAATTTGACGTGGATAAAAATAGTAATTTTTAAAATTTTTAATATTTTAATGGGGTTGTATATAGAGTGGGGTGCATATATAAAAATGTGAATGTAAATAACAGTACCTTTTTTTTAAAGGAAAAATTGCATTTTTGATCCCGACCTTTAAAAATGGCTAGATATACTCACCATATTTAAAAATAGCACCAGAGATCGTCAACTTTTTAGAAAATATGCATGATTGGTAGGGATGTCAAACGGGGCGAATGACTCAATGACGAGCCCGAGCCCGAGCCCGAGCCGAGCAGGGGGCTCAATCTCACGAGCTCTTGGGTGAAAGGCTCGGCCCATTATCACCCCTAATATTGATAGGTCTCAGATGATAGAATCTGCCCATTTTGGCCGGTAAGATTGTGTAAAAAGACAAAAAAATGCCCCTTTAATAAATAAATAAAAAAAAACAATTGTGCCCAAAAAATGAAGAATAACCCACCACCACCGGCCACTACTACAACCATCCACTCCATCACTACGCACCACCACCCAAAAACCAGACAAGAGATATGGCCTTGTTAGTTGGTTGGATGTGGATGTGGATGTGGATGTGGATGTGGATGAACATGAAATACCCTATCACAAGCCCAATTGACATGCCGAATCCGGATCCAAAAACACCCAAATTGTAATCACTATACCCTTCTCTAATATATACTCAGGGCATGTTTGATATGGATTTTTTGGAGTATATTTTATGAAAAGTGATTTTTTTTTTTGTTTTTAAGAGTGTTGTTAAAAAGTAAGAAAATTTATGAGTTCATATGAAAAAATATTTTATTAAGAAAATGTGTGGTTGAAAATAAATTTTGATTTGAGTCCCCATTATTTAAAAATTCATTTTCAATTACATATTCTTCTAATAAAATAATTTTACACGTAAATTAAAAAAAAATCCCTATTTTTAAATCCTAAGTTTGTGAAAGAAAAATGTTTTTAAGGAATATGTACCATACATGGGGCTCAGTTATATTAAATTCAAGAAAACTTGAACAAAGATCATTGGATCAAGAAAATAGGGGATTTTTTTATTTTTATTTTTTTGAAGTTAAATGCCATTTATGTACATTAAAGAAAACCAGTATTAAAAGCATAATTAAGCAGGGCAGTATAT